ATTGTATAACACAATTTTAAATTAATGGTTAAATTAGTAATTTTAATATAAGGATAAGGTGTTATTATAACTTTTTCACAATAAAAACGTGTTTTTTACGTTTTATAAATATTGTCATAAAATCTTTCACAACCTTCCCTCCATTAGGTATAACTTGACAGTGATAAATTTAGTTTTTTTTTTTAAAGTGCTGCAGAAGATGATAGAGTTTTGAAATATTGAAGCGAGAAAACTGACACAACTAGAAAAGAAAATGTCACAAGTCAGAATATAGAATATTGTTAAGCAAGAAAAGTGACACAACTCAAAGTACCTGGCTTATTCTACCCCTGGGAAACATCTGGTTAGGAACAATTTTTATATTGTCTATTATTACTATAGTAATAGTAGAATTATAAATGATTATAATAGCAATTGAGCTCCCAGAATCAATAAATGCCTGGTAAGCGCGTTTACAGTTTAAGCAATTGGATTTTTGCTAATACTGACAATTTATGTTTTTTTAGATGTGACGTTATTCTCGCCGGAGTGCGATATGGAATCAACGTAGCGTTTTTTTCGCACCTATTTAGTGATTTTAATTTTTTTCGACTGGCAACTCTGTGCCGTTTTCCGATAATTTCTGTTCTAAATCACCGTAAATTCAGAACATCATACATCATAACAGCAATAGCCAGTGTTCCATCAACACAAACATTTGGTAAATGTGTGCAAATTTAAGTTGATGAATGACGTGACGCCGGCTATCCGTATAATCACATAAACATAAAGGAGAATAAAATCCTACCTGTACCGTGGCTGTCGTATAATCAATCTTGCAGGCGAGCTATAGCATGATTAGAAGGTAATTCACGTTGTTTTAACGAGCGTTTGATTTGTTTTAACACAATAAATAACATCACAACAAAAACACGTGCACAACAACGTATACGACCGCACTCTCGATGTTCAGCTGGGAACTACTACCGGCGGACCGGCGCAGCGGTGCAAAATAGAGGTGGGACGGGTAGTAACTATTCGTTACAAAGTATTCGTTACTATTCGTCAATGATTACTGACCATTTCGTGATTTCGAGTATGCATTCTGGATTCAAATACTAAGGAATCAAGAACCGATTGCCGAACTACCGAGAAATACGGACCTCCCAAAATGATACCTATAAATCAAATACCCCCTACTTTTATTTACTAATACTTCGCTTTCAAGTTGACTTGAATGTTGAAAATAGAAAAAAGAATAAGTTAAAAATAATGTGGCCTTTTGTTACTTCGGGCCTAACGCTTGATTACTCTCTAATAAAAATTTAATGAAGTAACTAAAGTTATTAAATAATAATAGATTTATAAAGTAAGTTTTTTGTTTTTTTTTTTTCTATGTAATATTATTTTATTTATTTTTGTATTTTTTTACGATTTAAATATATTTTTTGTATTATTCCCGAAGTTATTAGATATTTTCATACCGCAATAAAACCAAACCAAAGCGAGTTTCACTGAGTAATCAATACCCGAAGTAACGATTATAAATAACGATTACTTTTTTAAAAAGTAACGAATACGTACGAGTACACCAAAGTAACGATAGTTCCCATCTCTAGTTCAAAACACAAAAAGCACGATACACGAGGTATAACCACAGCTGTTGCTCCCCCCCTTATGAGAGAACTAGAAAGTAGACAGTGGCGTAACTACCGGTGTTCCATGTGTTCGCCAGAACACGGGCCCGCTTCTTCAAGGGGCCCGGTCCGGTCACACGAACATTTTTTTTATTGAATTTTTTTATATTATGCGCAAATTACATCCCGAAATAAAAAATTCTAAAATGTGCGGAAATCCCAGGGTCAATCGTTCATTGCTATTTACGAATTTTTTGCTGCAAAGGGCTGGACCTCTGGTGGCATCTCAACATCATAGACTAAATAAACTCGGCTTTTAGCCGGACAAATGTATGACTAATTTATGATACAGGATAACAAAATACTTAAATTTTGTCCCCAGATCATCAGTGAAACTTTATGCAGTAATATGACGTGAAAAAAAATTCAGTTTCAGTTGTGTTTTATGAAAACTTTCGTATTTTCAAAACTTTTTAATTTTGTACTTGTGGTGCTTTTTTCGAATAACAAAATATATCTGATGTACATATGTTACAACTAATTTTTTAAGTGGAAAAAAAACTGGACCGCGAAATTATTAGAGAATGAATACCTAGTACCCACACTAGTTTCACTAAAATTATCACAGCATGTTTCACTTTTCTTACAATACCTCGGTGGCTTCAGCGGAAAGATCTTTTTCGAAATTAAAAGTGACTAAAAATTTTTTAAGAAACACAATGGAGATTATCTTCACTGAATCTCTTAATTGCAAATCAAATTGCCAGAAGCTTAGCTGTGTCAAATCTTGTATCAATTTGTGCCCATTGGAAAGCAAGAAGAAAACAATTTAGATAGAATGATTTTAATAAAACGCAAGCTCTAATTGCAATCTACTCATACTTTACTCATTATAATCGTATTTTTAAATATATATTTTTATTTCTCTGTTCTTTAGGGGCCCCACAGTGTTGTAGTTAGAACACAGGCCCGCAGTTTGATTGTTACACCACTGAGAGTAGAATACTTTAAAGCTATGCTAGAAATTATGAATTTTATGGACTGGTCTAGAATTTAACTTTGCTGGTAGTTTACAGCACCCCTAATCATTGCGCATTCTGAAAGTGTCTGCCGAAATAGGTAAGGTTGTTTGCCGCCTGCACAGGGCCAGATTTGTGAAATTGAAATTTTTCATTTTTCAGAACAAAATTTTAAACATTACATTTAATTAAACTGTTAAGGCTCCACCACACAGGCATTAAAAGATGCTAAAGTAAGACAAAACCTCATCCCATTTTAATAGTTGAAGAGCGGTGCGATACATGTAGATGGTCGTGACATAAGAAGGCACCGGGTTGTATTTTCAAAAAAACGTTTGAATTTTTGCAATTAAAAATAAAATGCGTAGAACGAGAGTCCATTTTCGGCGAAAACTATAACTCTGTGTGCTTTTAAAAATGATCAAGGTGATCACGGTAATCAATCGTTTTTTACTTTTGCGTTTACCAAAAATGCTGAGATTTTTCTTTTAAGAATGCCTCGTGTTCTTAAACATATCTGTCTAGCACTTACGTATTCACTATTCTAAAAACTATTAAATTAACCTAAATACTATACTAACTAAACAGTAAACACTAATCACTAAAATGTTTACTTTACACTGACAAATCACAAAGAATATGTTCATAAGGTTTTTCCGTGTATTTATACAAGATTTTCTTCCCCTAATACCACAATACTTACTAGAATTTTTCTTTAGTTTTTAGATTGGCTTATTTTTTTATTTTTACTTGAAAATCAAAAGGAGTGATGATATTATAATATACCGTGAGGTTTTTTTTCTCTGAACATACGATAATAATTAATGTTAAGTTGGTTGCATACCTGTTTGTAATAGATTGACTTGGACTTTTAAAAACTGAACAGAAAATCTAATCGAGATTTAGGATATGTCAAATATATTGCCATTGACATTTGGCACTACTCTCTTCATGTTAAGGTATTGTAAAAAGTACAAGTTTAAAGAACAGAAAATTTACGTTATTGACCTTTTTAAAACAATATCGTCAAAAATGTTAGTGTAAATGTCATCGTTGACATGACCTACTCCTCAATTATTACGAATCTTATGTGATCTTACGTTCAGTTTTTAAAAGTCTAAATCAATCCATTGGAGGATGAATATGCAACCCAACATACATGAATTATCCTATGTTCAGACAGTGAGTATAGATGTTAAAATACATAGTCACTGGTTCAGAGAACAAAAAATCTCACGGTATAGTAACGAATACAATGACTTCAGGGAATGCCTCCGACTTATGCGAAAATTCAGGTAAATACTAAACTTATTATTGTTAGAATATTTCGTAGGGGTGTATTTATCTAGGCAATAATACTATATAACTAGTCAGGAATTTCACTAACTTTGTATATACAGGCTGATTCAGCATATATGACGAATTTGACCTATCCCGACAGGCACCCCAAAATACATTTTTCTTCTGTTCCTTGATTCACAATAGAATTTAAAAAATATCATGAATCCAAGTTTGCTTTCTTATGACTGTCAATTTTGAGCAGTTGACAATTATTTAGCAATAGCATTTGGCATTTTGCAATTTTGTTTGAGAACAGCTGCTGATGATCTCAATTTTATCAGGAGCATCTTATTTAATGATGGGGTCAAGTTTTCCTTCCAACAATGGCAATATAAACAAACACAACTTACATTATTATGCACAAGAATGCACAATTAGCCAATAACACTTGACGTCACGCTGTGGCGGGAACTTAGCGTTTGACAAGCGCCGTGAAACTCCATAAGTGACAATGGTAACATTTTCGCATTTTATTTAAAAGTGTGGGTATTTATCTAGAAAATAAACAGGTGAATAGCTTGTTTCATATCTTTTCTGTGTATCAGGGTGCTTTTTTTGGCGATTTGAGTTTAAAAATACATAATAAAAATAAAAATACAGAACACTGTTTTGGTCTGAATTCCTCGTCACCCAAAATACATCCGTGTGTTTTAAGCGGTAAATCGAAAATTAATATTTTCGTTTGAGGTTAATGTGACGAGTTTAAGTGAAGGTGTGTGATTTGTTTTTAAAGTATGGATAATTTAAGTGATTATGCACGATGTCTTTCCGTCAAAGAGAAAAACAGATATGTACAAAAGTTAAACAATTTAAACGGCGTAGATCCTTATATAATGAGTGCAAGTGCTTTTAATTTGTGTTTAGACGATGTCCCTACCATAACAATGAATACCATTCTAAACTTTTTTATTTTTGGAGTAAGTAAAATAACTCACAATGAAATTCGTGCATTCAAAAGTCTAGACGCATTTATTCAGTTTTCTCTTTTTTAAACAACTGTGTTTTTCAACATTACAAGTATTGAGTGGATTTATTTTGATATCCTAAATTTTGTGATGGAACATAATCAGGGTGGTCCACATCCGACAAATCTGCAGGTTTACCTAAAAGAGCACCAATGTAGTCATTTATTAGAAACTGTAAATCTAATAGGTAGTTACTGTACCTAAAATAAAATGATCTGAACAAATATAGGAATACTTTACTTTGGCTTCGTTAAATCCACTCGTTTCAAGGTTTTTAACCAAAGCTTCCGCCTTTTTTCCCCATCCTGTATATATTTACGTTGCTAATTGCTGGGAAAGGAAAATAAAATTTCTCCGCATTTCTGGTGCTTCGATTCGCGCAACCCACAACATCACAAAATTTAGGCATTTTCTCCTAAAATACAAAATATTATAATATTAAGATGCTAGTGTATTTAAAAAACATTGATATACATTAACACGGAATTAATTTGCAAAACAAATAATAAGATGCAGCGAAGTTAACCTGTACATCACATTGGAAAACATTATTTTTTAAGGATATTCAAACGTTATGGTGCGTTTTACAGATATCTACACAATCTAGAAACTGTAACAAACTTACCAAACTATAAAAACACAGTTGACACACTCTCAAATTTAAATGAATTCCGAAAATATTAGCATTGACTCTTATGAGAAAACCGGCTAGTTGTCAAACGCTGCCATGTTGATGACCTCGGACATTGATTAAATACATATATGTATTTAATCAATGCCTCGGATGACGTCAGTGTATTTGGCTAATAGATTCGTGAAACTCATTTTCAAAGAATTGTTTCGATCAACTTTTATTTTAAATGTAATGCATGACAGTGACACTTTGTCTTGACGTTTTTAAAACCACAGACTTCGTCACTTCGTGGATTTGTGATATATTTGAAATTGTAGTGTAAATCAAGAAATAAATGAATAATGTATTGTGGGTTGCCACCAATCACAATTTAAATTCGTCATTTAAGCCGAATCACCCCGTATATATTTTTTTAATGTCAAAATTTCATATTGAACAACGTTGGGATTATGTAATAAGCGATGCAATGTAATACGTAATACTGTTGTACGGTAACAAATAAAATTTGGATAAAAAAGGTACCAAAAACTCGCAGTGGGCTAAAGTCATGACAATAATTACTGTGATTTTTAAAATCATTGTTTTTCTGCATTTACATACTAAAATGTTGGTGTTAAATAATACATGAAATTTAATGCATTATTTGAAAAAAGTGCAATGTTAAAAAAAGATATGTAGTAATAGCAAAAAAAAGTTTAGATGGCTGAAGAATGTATAAACAAAAAAAAATTGGAAATAAACAAGTGCCTAACGTGATAAAGAAAACTATACCCTAAATATCAACCTAAAAATTGTATTTAAATTCTACCGGGAAGAGGCGAATGTATATAAAAAATTAAAATGTGAAAGTCTATGCCTGCCACCAGCTGTTGCTATTATAAAATGGGTAATCCCCATGGCAAATTTCTCAAATATTTTCAAATCCGACCCTGCACATTAGCAGGTATGGCAACGTACCCGATCCCCTTTTAGGGTACTGTAAACTACCTGCAAATTCAATTTACACAAACAGGTAAAGAGACCGAAAAGGGACAGTAGCCACTAAGGGAAATACAACATCCCGCCTGCCTTGAAGTGCAGTCGCTAGCAAAAGCAACGGTAAAATTGTTTGGCACGGAAGAGCTGTCAGTAATGTTAACCGTCCAATTCTGGCTGTCATAATAATAACCGGGATAATTTACAACATTGCCTGCTTGCTACCCATCCGAGCTTTTCGGATTCTAACCAAGTAAATTTTATTTCGTCTAGTCTCCCAAGTTTCTGGTAACCGAATAGATAAATGAATAATGATTAAATAATACAAATAAATTATTATTTCTAAACAATTTAGGTGTTGTTAAATATAGGAATGAACACAAATAACACATATTTGAAAACATTTAATACAGTGAAACCTGTCTATGCCGGATTCTGTAGAAGGTGGAAAACTGCTCATCGCGGAAATTTTCCGCAGTCCCGTTTTTTCAAATACCTAATTTTCGTCCGTATAAGCCGGAAACTGTATAACGCGGAAACGGAAAATATTTGTAAATCCCAACGTGTCAAAATACATGCACCCAACTCTGTGTAAAACGGAAGCGAGAACAAAGTTGATAATTTCTACGAAAAATATATAATTCAATTCGTGGACCTTCAGGTGCATTTTTTGTCAACAGAAAATCACTGTTCTCAATTCTCATTTAATTGGTGTCTCTCGTGGTTATATGTGTGTTCGCAATGGCCCAAAAAACGACCAACAATAACAACAAAATGGATTTAATTAATGTACACGAGCAGCAAAATTTGAGTGTTAAAGAAATTTGCAAAAGTTCGGTTGTAAAAAACGCAAGTGTATCAAATTATAAGACATATCCTAAAATAAATTAGAGAGTAATGGCAAAGCGGTGAAAAAGCAAATAACAATAAACAACTATTTCAAATAATTCTTTTATATGTACCCATGTATTCAATTTAATAAAAATTGATTTCCGTTTTATAGAGGTTTACTTTGCGTCATAGCCGGGTTTCCTGTAATAAGACGGATAAAAATTTTGGACCCGCGCGATTCCGGCATAGACAGGTTTTACTGTATTACCAAATTCGTCTGTGATTTTAGTTTCAGTTTTGCAATTTTGATTTATTCAATAAAATAAATTGGCTGATTCATTAATTTTTGTGAGTCAGCTTGTACAAACAAAATTAAAATATATAAATGCAGTTATAAATTACAAGTATAAACTGATCATATTTTGCACATTTTAGATAGGATTAAGGATTTATTCGGCAGAATGTTGGGATGACGTCATCAATTTTTTGAGGGTGATAAACTGCTGCATCTTGAATAAAAATTACCATAACTTTAAAACGTTTGCAAGTTTTCAAAGTATTCAGTTTTGCAATTCTTGATTTATTCAATAAAATAAATTGACTGATTAATCATTATTTTTAGTCACCCCATATAATAAGCAAACCTAAAGATATGAATGCAGTGATCAATTACAAGAATCAATTATCGCACGATTAATTATTCACATGTACAAAAAAGAGAAAGTACATAACAAAAACAAGAATGATTGCAACACAAAAGTCGAAATTTCCAACTCTTTATTAATTTCGTGGAATTGTTGAGAAAACCAGAACTTCTCTGTCGTTTCTAATAGTTTTTTGACATTGCGCCGCGCCAGCACCCATGTAAGGAATTTTGGCAACACAAAACTCCACTAGGGTGAAAGTCGACTCGAAAGTGTCAGAAATGAGTCCGAACGTGATTTTTTCATACCGAAGTTGCAAAAACAGTAAAAAAAGCGGTGAAATAAGAAAACCACGACATGAATTGTGGCTTTTTTTTGTTTGGGTGTAACCCCAGTACACGAAGAAAACGTCAAGCTTAGTTAGATGCGCTTTTGCTGGGCCATCCTCAACCGTAACGTGACCTAGCTACAGTTTCTACCTATACTCAAATTTTATTAAAACACAAAGTTTTTACTTTAGTGTACATTTAAGGCGGTAGTTTTCTTTTGTAATAATACCATATTGTAATCCCATCCATTTATGCCAGGTTGAACTTTACAACGAAATCCAAGATCTTCTCAAAAGCTAAGCGCTTTGATTATCCTGAGCCAGCACCAAAAACTATGTTCCTTCACTCCATTACTTTAGTAAATTTTATTTCGTTTTTCTTCAAACTAACCTATTTTGTCTTACAGCACCCGTATGTCAGCAGCATAATAATCACCATATGATCGCTTCGACGTCAAAAAAGCGGACCGTTTCGATGTCAAAAAAGGGTCCAGTTGCCTGGAAAAATGAACACTCCTCCTTAGACCCCAAACCCATCTTCATTGGGACCACCAAGACCGAATTGATGAAACGTGACTCGGACCTAAACATAGACCTGAGTTTAACTTTGGACCAACATTTGGAAAATGGACAGAGTTGCTCCATGTTCGAGTCCATGTGTCGTCAGGTCCAAAACTCCCCAATTTTCATCTCGGATGACGGGTTTGGCTCGTGCAGCAGGACTTCTTCACCACCATCTGAAGAAACCGTAGCAACGCCGGTTCGCAAGGTGGTATTCAACTGCCTATCGGTGGGAAATTTAGAGGAAATGTGCGAGATAATCGCAGTCGTGGTGTGTAAAAAACTAGAAAAAAGGCAACAGGAAAACAGTTTGTGGACCAAGGCCAGGAAGTGCTTGAAGAGGGCCGAGGGTTTGATGGCAATTTTAAAGCGGAGTGACGACTGAGCTTTGTTGCATTGTACAGTTAGTTGTAGATAAATAGATTAAGATTTTACCATGTAGATATAATTTTTAAAAACGATAAACTTATTTTTAAAATTATACTTATTTTCTTTCTGAAACTGTCACTTGGAAGAGCAGAAAAATCGAAAATGTAAATCTAAGTGTGAAAAAAATGAACAACAGTTAAAATGAAAAGAAAAATAACAAAATTTGGAATTCATATTTGGTTAGAGATCCTTCAAACATTTAAGGCGTTCATGGCTTTGACGTTTAAAGTACTTTACAGCCGACCTTTCATAAATCTTAGTAAATGTAAACCATGCCACGTGCCAGAGACGGCCGAGACGCGAAGAACCGGACTAAGAGTAATTTTGTTTTTAACGTTTCGTCCGTACCTTAATTATTTAATCATTACTCTGCACATTTGAAAATATTATCAAGATACTGAAGGCAAAAAACATAAAATCTTTAATAAGTACGATCGCAATCAAGAAACTAAGTTTTTTGATAAATCAAATAATTTTGACGATGTCACCGTCCTTTTTTTCAAATCCGGAGGGTACATTCATATTGCTGTTATATTAAAAATAATACATGACTAGAGAGCGAAAAGTATGCAGCAAAATTTTGAGAAATATATGATCATGTAATATGCATGAAATTTATGCAAATATGCAATAATTTTATTAATAAATGCAGAGATATGCAGTTGCATATGCTCCAAGAATTTAAAAGAAGTATAATAACACAACTAAATTTATTTACAAAGTATAAAAACAGGTTTATCGAGCTTAATTTTTTTAATAAAAATACATAGATAAATAAAATTTTTAAAAATTATTGCCTTACACTAAATAGTGACAAATAAATAAAAAATTATAATAATAGGCCATTTAATTAGTATTTTTGTAACAATTTATTTTTAAACACTTTTCGAAATATTGTAGCAAAAAATTTTGCCGGTGATCCGAAAACATATATTTGTAAATAGAAATGCGGTTTGTAGCAGAAGCTACAAAACACAGTGCCTTCTTGAAGAATAAATTCAGGAAAAGACCAGTACAGGACACGGTTGATAAAACCGTTAATTATTAATTTAGAAGAGTCGAGTGATGATGACAATGACTATTTCGATCAATAAATAAGCAGTAGTAGTTAATTAGTAAATAGTTGTGTATGTCAAAATTCTAACTAATTTGCTGTAATAAAAAATGATTGAGTACAAAGTTACTTTATTTTTACCTAAAATAAAAAAATCGAAAGGCGCAGTTGTCGGTAAATGCAAAACTCAGTCCTGCCCTATACTTTTAAAAAGGTCTTTTCAGGTAGGTATCGAAGAGCGGCTGTGACGGCCTAT